ATGTATAGTTATTATGTGTAGTTTTGCGCAATTAGTAAAAACAGGTGTCCGAAAACTTTTGTCTAGGGTGTGTATGTTTAAATTACTTTAAGACCTAATCAAAAAATATCTGGTACAACGAGAGGTAATTTAAAAAATGGTAATAATAATGATAATAATAACAACAAGTGGTAAACATTTTAATTAATATGTACCAATTGATATTATTTTCCTGGTTTATTTAATTGTGATAATTTACAGAAAATAAATTTTGTAAATTTATCTTTAAAACACACATCAGGCAGTAACAAATCAACATTATTTTTCACTCTTTTTTTTAGCGAAAGAAAACTTCATTATTATCATTGTTAAATTTCTCTAGTTAAAAAATACATGCATGCTAAATTAATAGCTACAAATTTAAATGCCGAGAATCATTATTAAATAGCTTCCTAAATATAATAAAAATTCGAAATAATCTTTAACAGGAATTGATATTAAAACATCAGGAAGACTCTCAAATATCGTGAAGGAAGCTTGTATTGGCATTTGCACAAGTCCTAGTGAAATAATAATTAAAAAAGCACCAATAATGAAGTAAATAATACCAAAATAAATAATCATAAAAAGAAAATAAAGAGAGGTGATAATACCAAGCAAAATCAAACAAAATAAAATAAATAATATAACAAATACTGTTATTCCTATAAAACATCCACCATATAAGCAAAATTTAAGAAAAATTGTCTTTAACTCTATAAAAAAATGTTTTAGGTATTCATTGAATTTTGGAGGTATTCGAGGTATTCGAGGTCCCTGAGCCCGAGACATCTGAACTTTTCGATACAAAAACATGAGTGATGTTGCAAAAGATAAACAAATAGTAATCAATACAATTATATTATCATATTTAGGATATAGGATCACACCTTGAACAGTTGATGGAATGATTAATAGTATTGGTTTTAGAAACTCATCATAATTACTGATCAAAATCATAATTATTTTAAAAATTTCAATATTAAAATAATTGTAATCTTTTGAATTATTATACAAGCGAATTGCATTTAAAAAATTTATAAAAGCTGTAGAAATTATTATGCCCTTTTCAGATTCATTATAATCCCAATATCCACCCATTACTGTAATACCCCAAAAAACCATAGTTGTTAATCCTTGTGTAATTGCCTTTGTTGTTTTATCACATCCAATAATCATTCCAAGTGTACTGAGAATTATACTTAAAAAACTTAATAAAA